ACTAAATAATGATCATATAAAGGAATTATATGTTCAAAATCACACAACTATCGATTGATACTTTGTAACAATGCATATATCTCATTTGTGACACGTATTTTCGTAATTGTCTCGTATAATTGATACCCAATTCTATAAAGTTCATAATTTGTTTCTTAGATTTGTATTCTTCATGATCTTTAGTCTTAGACAATATGTCACAATATTTTTTTAAAGAAAGCCATCTAAAATTAAAACAAAAAATGATTTGATAAAATTTTCAAATAATATTAAGAGTTCCATTGCAGCATCATTAATCATTAAAGTCAGAGGTATATATTTTTTTTTAAATAATTAAAATTTTTTAATTAATTTATACATATTATGATTATTATTTAGGATACTTCACAATTATTCAATTAATTGATATAATTTTATAATATTACAATTATAAAAAAGTTCTTTTTTATATATATATTTCATCAATTATACATTTGTATGCTATATTTCTAATTTCTAATTATATTATATTTATTTATTACAAAAGTAAGAATCTTCTCTCGACCGTACTGGCAAATATTATTTATTTAATCACAACGTTTTTTGACCCTTTTTGAGTGATTTATCAAGTGATTTGTAAAAATAAAAATAAAATTATAATTCTAAGATGTCCAGAACGAACATAGTGTCGGTTTGACAACACGTCAAAACTCTCAGACGAGTTATTGGAGTCTGTTTGTTTTAATAAATTATGTATATAATTTTGTTACTAAATTTGAAATATAGAAATATATATATATATTTATAAAATTTATTAAATATCCCGAAAAGTATCACACTTCATTATTTGATTCCATATATGTTAATGAATACGGATTGGAAATGAAAAAAAAGTAATAAATGGATTAAATGACGATTTTCGAATATATATAATTTAAAATTATAAAAAATCTATACAAAATCGTTATTTTGTACAAAAAAAGTTATATAGACAACACATACGCGCGCGTCATTGTCCCATTTTTTTTTAATTGTATTTAATTTTGGTTTTTAACAATAACTGTTAACCAAATGTAACTCACAATGCATATCTAATCGTTTGCATCGACGCAAAAAAAAGTAAAATATTTAGGAGAATCAACTTGATTTCCCTTTTTTAAAATGATTGTTCAATAGATTCTTTTTATTCTACTCTTTATTTCATTATATTATACTTTTTATATTTGTAATTTTTAAAATAAAATTTTCAAATATTACTATGATGCAATGTTCGATCTATTCATGAAAATTTACAAACAACAAGAAATTACTTTTGAGAAAATTTGTTTCCATATATTTTGTATAGCTGGCTGCGTAACGAAATTGTTTGCAGACGCATCGGAAATTTATGATATCCTCGATGGTGATAGCCTTGTAGCCGAGAATGGTGGGTATCAATTTCTTTAGTAAAGATGTTTTCGTTGCCATTATGACAAAAATTCGAGAAAGATCACTATAGAAAATTATATAAACTAAAATAATTGCAACAAATTTTTTTGCGAATTTAATATAATAACTGGCTGCTTCTAAAGACATTAAATTTTAGACTGCACAACACGTGTTCGAAGTTAACGCTGCGCACGTTGTCCACTTTTTGTCCATTATTTTTCTCAATATCTATACCTGAAGTGCTAAAGTAGTCCCTTTCACCCTGCATTATCTTGTGATGTGCCATACGTAAAAAAGAGAAACAAAATAGTGTCCGGTAATTAATGGACCATGATTAAGGGTTGATTTTCTGGCCAATTTGGAGATGATTTTTTCTTAGCAAAAATGTTGAGAAATCAATAATTTTCAGGTTATAAGCGATTGAAACAAATGGTTTTTTTTAAAACTAAACGTTTTGAAGTTAAAAGTCTAACATAATTACATTTTTTAGTTAATTTTAGGTAAAGTTTACTATAATATAAAATTTAATTTGAGGCTTAATTATAAAGATTAATGACAAATATTAAAGAAGTTGTATAAAATGATGACCTTTTCGACATTTTTGCTGAAAAAAATCGTTCCCAAATTGACCAAGAATCCACTTGTAATCGTTGTCCGTTTATTACCGGACACCTGTATAATGTTGGAAACTATTGTGCCATTTTCATTCTACAATGAGCCTGTCAGACAGAAGAAGACAGAGAATCACAGAGGACAGTATTAAATTAACGCGTAAAAGTGCGAAGCAAATATAAAAATAAATCATCTTTTAAATTATGCATCTCTTTAAAGCTTGCACGAAGTAACACATTAAAATTTTAACAGATTTGCAATTTTTCAAACAAAATGTAGTTATTTTTATTTTATATATTATTTACAAAAGTACCATTTTCCTATTTCGAGAATTTTTTTTAACTGTTACCCTTTTTTGGTGTTAATTTAATATTATTCTGTAATTCTCTATCTTCTTCTGTCTTGAAGGTTCATTGTAAAATAAAAATGGAACAATAGAATTTCCAACAATACATTTTTTTTCTCTTTTCTCTTTTCTTATGGTGTGCATCACGTGACACAGTGCACGATGGAAGGAAGCGTTCTTTAAGTTCCGCAGGTAGAACGTTCAGAGAAGATTGGACAAAGCATAAACAACGTCCGTAGCGTTCACATCGAACACGTGTTATGCGAATTGAAATTTTTAATAATTATACGCGAATAATTTGTTGCAATCACTTCGATTTATATAATTTTCTATAGTGATCTTTCTCGAATTTTTGTCATAATGACAACGATTACATCCTTACCAGGAGAATTGATATCCATTATTCTCAGCTACAAGGATATCACCATCGAGGATATCATTAATTTCCGATGCGTCTGCAGACAATTTCGTTATGCAGCCAGCTATCCAAAGTATATGGAAAATAAATTTTCTCAAAGGTAAGATTTTGTTGTTTGTATATTTTACATGCATAGATCAAACATTGCATCATCAGTTTTGTATATTTAAAAGTTTTATCTAAAAAATTACAAATATAATGAATATAATAAAATACAGAATAGAATCTATTAAATAATCATTTTCTAAAAAAGCAATTCACGTTGATTCTTGTAAATATTGTACCTTCTTTTTGCGACCGTGTGACGATTAGATATGTGTCTCGATTTGCATTGTGAGTTACATTTGCTTAACAATTATTGTTTCAAATCAAAATATGTATGTGTTATCTATATGGTATTTGTTTTGTAGAAATATATAACGATTTTCTATAATTATGCATATTTTATAATTTTGGATTATATACATTCGAAAATCGTCGTTTAATCTATTTATTATTTTTTTTCATTTCTAATCCGTAATCATTAACAGATGGAAACAAATAATAAAGTGTGATAATTTTCGGGATATTTAATAAATTTTATATATATTTCGATATATTTAAAATTTAATAAGAAAATCAATATACATTTATTAAAACAAATAGTTAAAAAGACTCTAATGAACAATGGCTATTAAGTGAGTTTATTAAAAAAATTTTATTTTATTAAATACTATTCATCTTATAATTTTTCGAACACAAAAAGAATACACACTTTTAGATTATTTTTCTGATTGTAAATATTCCCCATTGCGTTTAATAAAAACGTTCCAGTGTTCTGGAAGTGCCAGGATATTTCTAGAAAAGTCTTTTACCTAAGAACATAAAGACACTCATGTAATGCCTCCTTTACTTCATCGTCGGACTTGGAGATCGATTCTTTATTATATAATACAACTAGATAATTTTGTATATTCAAGAAATAACGCGATAAAAAGTATTCAAGGTTTTTAGTTGACACATTTAATAAAAACAAACGCGTAAAAAAAACGCTTTAATGAAAGACAAGACGCAGAAATTGGAATTAACGCGTATAGTTAAATATTCAAAATTCTTGCTTTAAATCTTGTCCATTTTAGCTCCTTATACGTAACATAATTTTTATAAATACATTATATAATGAAATAATATTTTTAAATAATTAAAAAGTTTTATTAAAAACACATGCAACCGGTGGCTTTCCGTCCATTTTCATAACGTAATGAATAAATGTAATATAAAATAATTAGAAATTATAATATAGCATACAAGTGTATAATATGATAAAATATAAATAAAAAAGAAAACTTTTTATAATTGTGATATTATCAATATAATATATCAATTAACTAAATAAGTTGTAAAGTATCCTAAATAAATAAAATATGTAAAAATCAAATAAAAATTATAATTAATTTAAAAATATATTGCTCTGAATTTTGTTTAATGATGCTGCAATAGAACTCTTAATGTTATTTAATAATATTAAATCATTTTTTGTTTCAATTATAGATGGCCTTCTTTAAAAGAACACTATGACATTATGTCTAAGACTTTTAAAGATCGTATAAAATGCAAATCCAAGAAAAAATTATAAACTTTATAAAATTAGGTATCAATTATAGGAGACAATTTCAAAAATACGTGTCTCAAATGAAATATGATCATTATGACGATGAATCAATCGATAATTGTGTGCAATTCGAAGATATATTTCCTTCTGATTTAGAAGACAATAATTATGAAGAATTCAAATATTGTAATCGAAGATTCACCATATTTTCTTTTTACAACGATGAGCTTAAAAGCTTGCTCACACATTCTCCACGGTAAAATTCTTAATATATTTTGTAGTGCTAACATCTTTATAGATTATGTTCTTGCACAGTTTTAATATGTAAATTTTTCAGAACTGGTTGCGATTTAACCGAAAGATATTATCACGAGAAACTATTTAACTATATAAAGAATTCTAGAATAAAATTAAGCTTGGGCAAATTTAAGACTTTACCTGATAGAGCACGGCTTATGGAATGGATTGCCTTTAATGTAGCACAAACTTTACAAATCCAAAAGGATGTAACTTACGCGTACGTAGTAGAATCTTTGGATAATATTGCACGAGAGGTACAAAATTATCTGAAACAAAAACATCCAGATCATTCGATATTTTCGACGTCCGCTGAATTTTTTCTTATTGGAAAAACAATAATATAGACGATAATCACTGGAACGAAGCGGAAGGAATTCAGATTATCGATGCATTAGACGAATACATATTTCGCAAATTAAAATTTCGGCCGTGCGAAATAAACGATACAATTCTGGAATTCATGTGTATAGATAATGTAAGTTATATAATGTATATTATAACTATATGTGGCGTCAGAAGAAGAAAATCGTACTGTGAGCATGGCCGTTTGTTTGTTTATATATTAAAAATACTGTCATTCTCTCATTAATTTATTGCAATTTCTGACATAGGTACTAAAAAGTAGATATGGACAAGAAGTGATTATATTAATAATATATCACAGCGTGGCAAGAAGACTTGGTCTACGTTCCGACATTGTGGCATTCGGTGAACGATTAGAACTATCTTACTGTATACATTGGAAATCCAGATAGTAAGTAGTATAAAATTAAATTTGGAATTATTGAAATCTTTTAAAAAATATTTCTACACATACACAGGTGTGCATAATAGATAAATAATATGTTTGCTTTGCAGTGGCACGATTAATCCAGCAAATGAAAGATGTTTTAGTGTAATGTTTAACAAATTCCCGGATTGTCGTGTCAATAAATCAGCGTATCAGAAGAGGTCGCAAAATTTATATCGTAATGATTTTTTACCGTGCAACAGATTAGGTCGAATATCACCATGTGAACTGCGAGACAGGATACTGCTAAGATTTGCGGATTTGACATACCATTATAACAACATTTCTCAGATTAAGGAGCGTAAAAAAATTTATTTATTTAAAACAAGTAGCTTTGAAGTATGTATGCACTATACACACAGCATTAATTAAAATATATTATAATAGTAACAATAAATTCTCTTTTCTTTCTTTTTGACAGGTACAGCTATATACATATGAGTTATAATTATTTATAATTTAATAATAAGAATAATTAAATATGCTATAAATATATATTTAAGAATTAAATGGTAAGAATTATAAATTAAAGTATAACATTATACTTTCAGGTCAAAGAACTTTGTTTAAAAACAACAGGGCAATTCATTAGAACAAAAAACGTAAAATTTGCGGTAGGAATGATCGTAACACATCATGATGATTGCAATAATTGCGACGGCGTCATAATCGGATGGGATCGTCATACAGACAGACGTTATGAAATTTTGACAGATAATCCAAATAACGCCAGATGGCGAAATAATTCAATGCAAATAGACTACTTGCCTTTGAATCATTGTAACAATTATCAATTTACAGAACAGCAAACAAATTATATTATTCTTACCAATAATAATAAAATATGTTACGTAAATGAAGGTATGAATACATTATATATCATATTAAACGTGTTGTATTGAAAATTATATATTCTTATATTCTACGAACATTTATTTCTTTTTATAATTCGATTTTTTATTGATTTCACAGTTATAAATACATTTTATTTATTAATTTGTTTATTATTTATTTTACTTTTCGTACAATGTTTCTATTTGCATTTTTTAATTTTAGGTAATCTCACTTTAGCAGCGCCGAAATGTATTGATAATTCCGAAATTGGTCGCTATTTTTGTAAATTCGAAAATACGCATTACGTACCAAATAAAATGCTAACGAAACTTTACCCGGAAGACTCCGCTCTAATTACATAGAGGACTAAATCTGCGAATTAATATTATGAATAACATTATGCAATGATTAGAAAAAAATTTTTTTTTAATTTTATATTTTAAGACTAAATATTATATAGTAGAAACTATGACATTATTATAGTGTATAGGTGGCTTTCCGTCCATTTTCATAACGTAATAAATAAATGTAATATGATATAATTAGAAATTAGAAATATAGCATACAGGTGTATAATATGATGAAATTTAAATAAAAAAGAATACTTTTTTTAATTGTGATATTATAAAATTATATCAATTAATTGAATAATTTGTACAGTATCCTAAATAAATATAATATGTAAAAATCAAATAAAAAATTATATTTATTATAAAAATAAATTGCTCTGAATTTCGATTAATGATGCTGCAATAGAACTTTTAATATTATTTGAAAACTTTATTAAATTATTTTTGTTTTAATTTTAGATGGCCTTCTTTAAAAGAATATTGTGACATATTGTCTAACAATAAGACTATTAAAGATCGTAGAAATGCAAACCCAAGAAAAAAATTATAAACTTTATAAAATTGGGTATCAATTATACGAGACAATTACGAAAATACGTGTCTCACATGAAATATATGCATTATCACAATGAAACAATCGATAATAGTGTGCATTTCAAACATATATTTTTTCCCATCTTGGAGACAGTAATTATGAAGAATTCATATATTGTGATCGAGGATTCTCCATATTTTCTTTTTACAACGATGAGCTTAAAGCTTGCTTACACATTCTTCACGGTAGGATTCTTAATATATTTAAAAGAAATCAAAAATTTTAGTTAAAAAACTGGGCGCGCTGCTAAGTTTCAAAATTACAATGCACCTTAAAGTAACATTAATTAATTTAAACACAAAACATATTTTAATTGTAATGAGTTTAAAAGTAACAATTTAATTTTAATATTGTTAGAATATTATTTAGCAGCGCTCCCAGTTTTTTTAACTAAAATTTTTTTATTTCTTTTTCACATGGCGCATGGACTTGGCATCTTGTTTATCTTTTTTTTTAAAAGATAAGTTTTTTTTATGGTACGATTCTACATTTGCAAATTTAAATTTTTACTGATTCATTATACGACTCTATATATGTCTGCAACTTTAATTTTCCACTGGTACAAGTTTCTACTTTCACTTGGCGCAATTTTTTTTTTATTTCATTACTTTTGTTACGATTGTACATGGGTTTATAATCGATAATTTTTCATACAATTCTATTGTACATGGGTTTGCAATGTAGGATTCTACATAAGTTTGCAATGGATAATTTTTAATACAATTCTACATGGGTTTGCAATGGTTAATTTTTCATAACCTTCTGTGTCTCACGCAAGGCACAACATTATACAGCATTGAAAAGAGGAAAGCTCCGAAATACAGCTGCAGGCTAACTATAATGGCTGAAAACCAACAACTCGTTGATACAAATACCTATTACTGCCATTATTAAACTAGTTAAGACGTGTATATCTGAAAATCTAAGAAATAGTTTATTACTTGTCGAGCTCGCACTTCTACCTACGTTTCCCTTGCATTCTGTACTCTTATCTGAAATGGAATTTATTCCAAGACGAGTTATCAAACATGTGGTAGCAAAACAAATAAGTTTGCATATTCAAGACACACAGTAGTCGTTTTCCGACGATCTATACTTATTATTATTTAAAAGACTCTGAATCAGAACAAAAAGATCATTATTCATAAAAATAAATAATATTAGAATTAAATAGTTCTATCGATCACCAAATGCACAATATTAGAAGAACGTAGACCAAGTCTTTTGCCACGAATGATAAATTATTAATAAAATAATTTCTTGTCCATATCTACTTTTTAGTACCTATGCCAGAAATTGCAATAAATTATTGAGAGAAAAATAAACAGTATATTTAATATATAAACAAACAAACGGCCATGCTCACAGTACAATTTTCTTCTTCTGACGCCACATATAGTTATAATAATTCATTATATAACTTACATTATCTATACACATGTATTCCAGATTTATCGTTCACTTTGCACGGTCGAAAATTTATTTGCCAAATAGTATTCGTCCAATGCATCGATAATCTGAATTCCTTCCGCTTCGTTCCAGTGATTATCGTCTATAATATTGCTTTTGCCCAATAAGAAAAAAATTCAGCGGACGTTGAAAATATCGAATGATCTGGATGTTTTTGTTTCAGATAATTTGTACCTCTTTCGATATTATCCAAAGATTCTACTACGTACGCGTAATTACATCATTTGGATTTGTAAAGTTTGTGCTACATTAAAGGCAATCCATTCCATAAGCCGCGCACTATCAGGTAAAGTCAAAAATATGCGCAAGCTTAATTTAGATTAGAATTCCTATATAGTTAAATAGTTTCTCGTGATAATATCTTTCGGTTAAATCGCAACCAGTTCTAAAAAATTTACAAATATATAAAACTGTGCAAAAACATAATCTATAAAGATGTTAGCACTACAAAATATATTAAGAATCATAAAGTGGAGAATGTGTAAGCAAGTTTTAAGCTCATCGTTGTAAAAAAAAAAATATGGAGAATTCTCGATCACAATACATGAATTGTTCATAATAACTCTGTCCAAGGGGATGAGAAAAATATATATGTCCAAATTGCACACAATTATCGATTGATTCGTTGTGATAATGCATATATGCATTTGAGACAACGTATTTTCGGGAATTGTCTCGTATAATTAATAAACCAATTCTATAAAGTTCATAATTTGTTTTTTTAGATTTGTATTCTTCATGATCTTTAGTCTTAGACAATATGTCACAATATTCTTTAAAGAAGGCCATCTAAAATTGAAACAAAAAATGATATAATAAAATTTTTAAATAATATTAAGAGTTCTATTGCAACATCATTAATCAAAATTTAGAGCAATATAATTTCAAAATAATTATAATTTTTATTTGATTCTTACATATTTTATTTATTTAGGATACTTACAAATTATTCAGTTAATTGATATATGTTTATAATATCACAATTATAAAAAATATTCTTTTTAATTTAATTTCATTATATTATACACTGTATGCTATATTTCTAATTTCTAATATATTATATTACATTTATTTATTACGTTATGAAAATGGACGGAAAGCCACCGGTTGCATGTTGTTTTAATAAAATTTTTTAATTACTTAAAAATATTATTTCATTATATAATGTATTTATAAAAATTATGTTATGTAAGCAGCTAAAATGGACAAAAACTAAAGCAAGATTTTGAATATTTAACTATACCGTTAATTCCATTTTCTGCGTCTTATCTCTCATTAAAGCGTTTTTACGCGTTTGTTTTTATTAGATGTGTCAACTAAAAACCTTAAATAATTTTTATTGCGTATTTCTTGAATATACAAAATTATCTAGTTGTATTATATAATAAAGAATCGATCCCCAAGTCCGACGAAGAGGTAAAGCAAACATTACATGAGTGTCTTTATGTTCTTAGGTAAAAGACTTTTCTAGAAATATCCTGGCACTTCCAGAACACTGGAACGTTTTTATTAAACGCAATGGGAAATATTTACAATCAGAAAAATAATCTAAAAGTGTGTACTTTTTGTGTTCGAAAAATTATAAGATGAATAGTATTTAATAAAATAAAATTCTTTTTTAATAAACTACTTAATAGCCATTGTTCATTAGAGTCTTTTTAACTATTTGTTTTAATAAATGTATATTGATTTTCTTATTAAATTTTAAATATATTGAAATATATATAAAATTTATTTAATATCCTGAAAATTTTCACACTTATTATTTGTATCCATCTGTTAATGATTACGGATTGGAAATGAAAGAAAAGTAATAAATAAATTGAACGACGATTTTCGAATGTATATAATTCAAAATTATAAAAAATGCATAATTATAAAAATCGTTACATTTCTACAAAACAATAATACCATATAGATAACACATACATATTTTGATTTGAAACAATAATTGTTAAGCAAATGTAACTCACAATGCAAATCGAGACACATATCTAATCGTCACATCGTCGCAAAAAGAAGGTACAATATTTACGAGAATTGCCTTTTTAGAAAATGATTATTTAATAGATTCTGTTTTATTCTATATTGTATTTTATTATATTCTTTATATTTGTAATTTT